CTGTCTGAAGCTTCGGCTATTGAAATGTGTACTCAAGGGATGCACTGGGGTCTCAGATACATTCTGCAAGGGATACAACCAAAGTCGTTTGAAAAGTTGGCCACTCGCGCACATGATATGAAGTTAAGCATGTCTTCAAGCGGAGTCAAGAATCCACCTGTTCATGAGCCTCAAAGATTCAACAACCGAAATGAAGCCAAGAAAGGGGGCAAGTTCTTCTCTAGAGCGCCTAACGAAGAGGTAAAAGAAGCAATGGCGGTCAATACAAGACCAATCAAACTCAAGGGAAACACAAGTGAAAAAGTTGTGGAAAAGAAAGAAGTCCTTCAAGATAGGGGCAAAGAAAATTAACCTTGAAGGAGATGCAAGCCAAACAATATCCTTTTCTAGACTCTGATGTTTCTGGAATTTTCGATGACTTGATTCGGGAACAACTCATCGAACTCCCGGAGATGAAATGACCTGAAGAAGCAGGACAAGTTGACAATCCAAAATACTGCAAGTATCATCGTTTGGTGAGTCACTCCATCAAAGATTGTTTCGTCTTCAAAGATAGAGTTATGCAGCTGGCACGACAAGGAAAGATATCACTTGAAGAAGACAAAGGGACAACGAACTTTGCTTCAATTGTGAACTGCGATGAATGATATGAAAGTTTCGCTTGTAATGTGAAGAACGAGCAAGATGATGTCCCAAGTGATGAGGAGTCAACTGATGGAAAAGAACAATGTGACCATGAAGACAACGATGCAGCAGTCACCTTCACGGATGAAGACTTGTTGTTGGGCTCAAAACCCCATAATAGACCTTTATTCGTAACTGGATACACTCGCGAGAAAAAGGTGAATCGCATACTGATAGATGGAGGTTCTGCTGTGAACATTTTGTCTCTATGTACTCTAAAAGAGCTGGAGGTCCCGATGGTTGAGCTCTCAAATAGTCGACTGATGATTCAAGACTTTAACCAAGGAGGGCAACAAGCTCTAGGCATAGTTAAATTGAAGTTAGTAATCGGGGAGATGACTTCAAATGCTCTTTTTCATGTGATAGATGCCCAAACCTCTTATAACATTTTGTTGGGACGTCCTTGGTTGCATGAGTATGGAGTGGTGCCTTATACTTGGCATCAATGTTTCAAATACTAATGAGAAGTTCTTGAAACGCTATTATGCGTGATGTACCTGCATGTATCTTTTGCATTAAAAAAAAAAAGACAATTCATATTCAAGTCCACAAGTCATATTCAAGTTCAAGAGCTCTAGAGAATTCTCTCCACAAGATTCAAGTGTTCTTGAAGATCCAAAGGCGTTCTTGAAGATTCGAAGGAAGATTCAAGCACGTTCAAGCCCAAAACTGACGTTCAATCTGGAAACAAGCTGCCAAGCCTCCGAATTGCGTTATTAAAGTTCAAGTGTTTTGAAGATTCAAAGGCGTTCTTGAAGACCCGAAGGAAGATTCAAGCGCATTCAAGCCAAAAACTGACGTTTAATCCAGAAACAAGCTGTCAAGCCTCCGAATTACGTTATTCAAGTCAAGACCGGCGTAGAGAAGATCAAAATCAACTTTGCGGCGAAGACCAAGGATTCGTGTTCTTCACGTTCTTGGAAAATCACGACGTTCGATTCGAGATCAAGCTATCAAACCCTCGAAGAAACGTTATTTAAATCCATATTCAAGACTGACGGAGACCAAACTGAAGATTAGTCTCCAAAAGTCTCAAGTCTATTTGAAGATCGTTCTTGAAGAAATTTATCAGAGGAATAGTAGAGATTTGTAATCCACTATATTTCTTTTGATCCGTTGAAAATTTATTTGTCCGAATTTCTCGTGTTTATTAATTCAATAATACGAAATTTTGCGTTATAAATTTCTGGCACGCCCAGTGGGACATTCTCTACCTCTCATCTCTTCTCTTCACACCAAGTTCGAAGATCTTTGAAGATGCATGAAGACCTCTTTGAAGCAATAATGAAGTCTTCAGCCGAATGGAGGAGAAACAAAACCGATCTTCCATATCCTTTTCAACTTCTATGGGGGGCAATTTACATGAAGCACTCCTTGATATGAGTATAAACTATCTACCAACTCTCATATTCAAATGCTCCTCGATATGAGCCTAAACTATCTACATATTCAAATGCTCCTTGATACGAGCCTAAACTATCTATATATTCAAATGCTCCTTGATATGAGTCTAAACTATCTACATATTCCAATTCTCCTTGATATGAGCCTAAACTATCTACATATTCAAATGCTCCTTGATATGAGATTAAACTATCTATATATTCAAACACTCCTTGATATGAGCTTAAACTATCTACATATGCTCCTTGATATGAGTCTAAACTATCTTATGGCTCATTGACACGAGCATAAAATGTCTTCATATCAAGATCTCCTTGACACGAGAATAAAAGGTCTATATATCAATCTTGAAGGCTCCTTGACACGAGCATAAAATGTCTACATATCAAGATCTCATTGACACGAGAATAAAAGGTCTACATATCAAGAACTCCTTGATACGAGTATAAACTATCTTCAAATGAAGTCAAATGAAGGCTCCTTAGCATGAGTATAAACTGTTTATAAATTAAATCAATTGAAAGCTCCTTAACATGAGCATAATCTGTTTACAAGAAGAAGGAAAAAAAAACTCCTAAATACGAGTCTAAACTACTTAATATACTCCTTGATATGAGTATAAACTATCTAAAGTCCTCAAATTAAAATTCTCCATGACCATGAGACTAAACTGCATGCTACTCTTGGTGCGCATGAGTATAAACTGTGCACGCCGTTCCCTTGAAGGAAAATATGCTTTGAATGACAGTATGTCTTGGAATTGATCACTCATATAGTTGGCTCGGCTTCTCGATGATTTCTTCATTCATGTCTTTAGATCTTCGGTCGGTGTAAACTCACTCTACTCCACAAGCTTGTTGATGGTAAAAAGTTTCTCTATGATCTTTGATAGGTGAGTTTCATGTCTTTGAATTCGTATGACATATCTCCATGGTCTAAAATCATTCATATCATGGTGGTCGTCTACTCCCGACAAAGTGTTATGCGGTGATGAGTTACTCCATTGTGTGTGTTTGCATGTTGAAAGATATTGTTAAACCATGAATTGTTATGTGGTGTTGATTTGGTCATGGCCTTTGTCCGTTGATGATGTGTCAAGTATGTAGTGGCTAAGTACTTCTTTCGTTGAAGGATGTCCATGTCATGTTAATCTATGTCGTCTTGATAAAATGAGTTGGTGTGATTTCAAGTTGCTTTAAGAAGTCTTTATGCCTTTCGGAAGAGCTTGTTGTCCACGTCATGTTGATTGATATCGACAATGTATGTGATGGAAAATCACGATAAGTGTTGATGGTTGCTTCTCCATGATGTCCCTCCACTTGATTTGATTGTCGGTGATGACTACTCGGGACTTGGACTTCAAATGCACAGTTCTGAAAGTTGAATTGGCCTTTGTGATACGCTATCCTGAAGTTGACGTTGTGCGGCAAGGTTGATTCTTCCGTGCAGCTTGGCTTTTGCGATGAGCGGCAAGGTTGATGGTCCTAAGTTGATGTTGTGCAGCAAGGTTGATGTCCCTTCGTGCAGCTTGGCCGGTTAGATGTGTCGTCCTAAGTGTTGATGTTGTGCAGCAAGGTCGATTATCCCGTGCAGTTTGGCCGGTTAGATGTGTCGTCCTAAGTGTTGATGTTGTGCACCAAGGTCGATGGTCCCTTTGTGCAGCTTAGCCGGTGAGATGTGTCGTCCTAAGTGTTGATGTTGTGCAGCAAGGTTGATGGTCATCCATGCAGCTTGATTCCTCTGTGCAGCTTGGCAAGGTTGATGATTCCGGCTTGGTGAGATGTGTCACCCTAAGTTGATGTTGAGCCGCAAAGTTGATGTATTTCTCCATGTGGTTGTCAGATAGTGCTGACAGTAGCTCCATCTCGTTGAGTTGGTTGTGGTGAGCCGCTTGCAAGATCCATGCCTGAATAGCTCCAACAGTCCCGCTTCGGCCCAAACAGCTCCAAAACAGCCCCGGCTCGGCCCAAACAGCTCCAAAACAACCCCGGTTCAGCCCAAACAGCTCCAAAACAGCCCCGACTCGGCCCAAACATCTCCAAAACAGCTCCTCTTCAGCACAAACGGCTCCGAAACAGCTCCGCTTCAGCACAAACGGCTCCGAAACAGCTCCGCTTCAGCACAAACGGCTCCGAAACAGCCCTGCGTCAGCACGAACCGCTCCGTTTCAGCCCAATAAACGCCCGAACAGCCCGAACCTCTCCGTTTCAGCCCGGTAAAAGCGCGGACAACTCTCGAACTGGTCCGTCTCATCCCGGGCAGCTCCCGAAGTGATTCGTTTAAGCCCGAACAGTTTCGTTGGAGGCCGGACATCGCTTAGACAACCTCGTTTCAGCTCGAAAGCAACCGAACGGCTTCGTTTACGCCTTAACGGTCACCGAGTAGCCCCGTTTCCTCTTCAACAATGTACTGCAGCACAAGCGTGACAAAAAAAAAATCGAGAAAAGAATGGGGAGAAGGGCATGATGATACCTCTCGGACAATTGGTCAAGCACCTCATGGACAGAAACTTGGGAGATGAATTTAGATGAACCTTTTAATATAGTCTACCAAAAAAATTCTGCACATGAAGCCAAGAACATGAATAAGAAGAGCAATAGGGCAATACGTAGATGAGGGAATTTCAGGAGCAATTCAAGATTCTTAGACTAAGATCTATAAACGTGAAAAGGAACAAGGAATTCTTTCAAGCTAACCTGCTCTGTGGCCTTCTAATGTGAGAAAAATGACAATGGCTGGATCTCCTTTTATAGGTGTGGAGAAGAGTCGTGCACTCAGACTTAAAGGAAATAAGAGTTTGAATTGGGTTAGGGAAAGGATTTAGAATCCTGCTAGGAGATTTGTCTTTCCAGAAGTTTTTTTTAAGAGTTTTAAGGCGAGAGGTAATTCTGTTCGTTGTATGTGTGGTGCTGTGGGTACAATATATTAATTGGACTCAAGTTTTTCATTGCCTAATCATTTCACTAATAAATGAAATTTGCATGGGCTCAATCAATTCAAGGCTCAATGCATCTTTGTGGGCCTCATAAAGTTTGGAGAACAATAATGGGACTAGGCTTATGGTGAGATGGGCTAATCCAAGAAAATTATGGAATTGGGCTCAGTGCTTTACATGTGATATTTAATTTTGGGGCCAATAATTTATTCCATGGCTTAATCCACTATACGTACTTGGGCCTTATTATATGGAAATCATATGGGCCAAAAGAGTAATGAGTGAGGGCTTAGAGCATATTTATGGGCCAAGTGTTAATTATGATGGTGAATCATTTAATATATTGGGCCCTATTAAACTTTGAAGTATATATATCATTGTCCTCAAGTTGAAAAAGTCGTGACTTATTCACTCCAAGATATGTCGTTCGTGAACAAGTCTCGAGGGGGCATTTGTAGACATTCAAATTTTGAGCCAATTAAATGGCGACAAGTGTCAAATTCTATGTCATAGTCAATTTAATAATTTTCTATTTATTTGGGAAATTAATCAAATTTTAATTCCTAAATTAAATAGTTAATTAATTGATTATTAATATACATTGTTGGCCAATTAAAGAATGCCACGTGTATATTTTGAAGGCCAATTAAAGAGTGCCACATGTCATTTTCTTGGAGAGTAAAATAAATATTTATTTCTTTTAATAATTATTAAAGAGATAAATAAATGGAAATTCATAGACCAATCAGATTGAAGTCTTCTTTTCCAAGACTCTCTCTCCTAATTATCTCTTTAAATAAATATTAAGAGATAAATATTAGAAATTATGGACCAATCAAATTGAAGTCTTCTTTTCCAAGACTCTCTCTCCCAACACCTATAAATAGGGACCCTCCCTAAGGTGGAAAAAACACAATTCATATTCAAGTTTCAAGTTCCAAGAGCTCTACAGAATTCTCTCAACAAAATTCAAGTGTTCTTAAAGATCCAAAGGCGTTCTTGAAGATCCGAAGGAAGATTCAAGAGCGTTCAAGTCCAAGACTGACATTCAATCCGGAAACAAGCTGCCAAGCCTCCGAATTGCGTTATTCAAGTTCAAGTGTTTTGAAGATCCAAAGGCGTTCTTGAAGATCTGAAGGAAGATTCAAGCGCGTTCAAGCCCAAAACTGACGTTCAATCCGGAAACAAGCTGCCAAGCCTCCGAATTGCATTATTGAAGTCAAGACCGACGTAAAGAAGATCAAAATCAACTTTGCGGCAAAGACCAAGGAATCGTGTTCATCACGTTCTTGGGAAATCACAACGTTCAATTCGAGATCAAGCTATCAAGCCCTCGAAGAAATGTTATTTAAATCCAAATTCAAGACCGGCGGAGATCAAACTCAAGATTCGTCTCTAAAAGTCTCATATCCATTTGAAGATTGTTCTTGAAGAATTTAATCAGAGGAATAATAGAGATTTGTAATCCACTGTATTTCTTTTGATCCGTTGAAATCCATTTGTACGAAGTTCTCGTGTTTATTAATTTCAAGAATACGAAATTTTGCGTTACAAAATGATTGTTTGAGACTTGAAAAGATTTGAGTCTCGAGCGACTGCCCATTTCAGGCGGCAAAATTCCACTCAAATCATTCATGAAAACTTTGAACGTCTCGAGGCTCGGTAATAGCCCCAGGCTTTGGGGAATTTCGCCTGAAAACCTATTTATGCACAGGCCTAAAAGCTCCAATTTCTCCAACTTCCCAAAATCTTCCGGGATTTCACCAGTCAAGTTGTTTTCGGATAAATCGAGACTGACCAAATCCAGCGAATCGATCGACTTAGGAATAGTACCCGAAAACCTGTTTAAGTACAGATAAAGAATTATCAGCTTCTTCAAACGGAGCAAACCTTCCGGAATCGGACCGTCCATGTTATTCATGGACAGATCTAAATGCTCGAGGCTCGATATATTCACGAACTGTTAGAGAGAAGATGAAGATAATGAAAATCATAGTGAGTTGTTTTGTTCATTAACAGATACAGAGGGATATATACAATACAGATAGATGACAACTTAGCTGTGAACTAATCACACGTGCTTAACTAACTAACTAACTATCAATTAATAACCTAACTAAGTAACTACTCCAATACACCCCCTTGAAACCGAGCTGGGATATGCCAAAACTTTGTTGTGCAGAGGCAACTTGGAGCAGAGGTAAGAAAAACGACCAGGACCAAGCGGTTTTGTAAGAATGTCAGCAAGTTGAAGATCAGTAGAAATATAGCGAACATCAATTTCCTTGGCAGCAACTTTTTTTCTGACAAAGTGAATATCAATTTCTATATGTTTTGTGCGAGCATGTTGAACTGGATTAGAAGCAAGAGCTGCAGCACTCACATTATCACACCACAAAATAGAGGGAGACTCAAAAAACAAACCAAGCTCATGGAACAAAGAGTGCATCCAAAGAAGATCAGAAGAGGCAGTGGCAAGTGACCTATACTCTGATTCTGCACTACTCCTTGAGACAACTTGCTGTTTCTTGGAACTCCAACACAAAAGATCTTGGCCAAGCATGATGAAATGACCCCCAGTAGATCTTCTATCATCTAAGCAACTAGCCCAGTCAGCATCAGTGTAAGCCTCAAGAGTGAACCTCCTTACAGGTTGAAATGACAGGCCAAGAGAGAGAGTACCTTTAACATATCTAAGTAGATGTTTGCAAGCAAGCCAGTGATTAACAGTAGGACCATGTAAGAACTGACTTAGCTTATTAACAACAAATGAAATATCTGGCCTGGTCATAGTTAAATACTGTAAAGCACCAACAACACTCCTGTATAGAGTGACTTTAGAGAAAGGTTCACTGTCTGCAAGATGCAACTTAGAGGCAGGAGAGAGAGGAGTAGAAACAGGCTTACAGTTGACCATGTTGGTTTTAACTAAGAGATCCAAAGCATACTTGGACTGATTCAACAGAAAACCATTAGCATTCTTGAGAGCCTCAAAACCTAGAAAGTGGTTGACCTCCCCCATGGATTTCAAAGCAAACTGAGTGCCAAGAGTAGTGATCAACTCATTAACAAAAGTAAAATTATCACCAGTGATTAAAATATCATCTACATAGATGAGAACAAGGAGTAAGTCCCCATGGGATCTTTTAAAGAAAAGAGAAGAATTAGACACACTTTCCTTGAACTCAAGAGACAAAAGAAAACCCTTTATTTTATTAAACCAAGCTCTCGGGGCCTGCTTTAGACCGTAGAGAGACTTAGTGAGCTTGCAAACAGCTGAGGGCCTAGAAGCATCAACAAAGCCAGCAGGTTGAGACATATAGACTGTTTCATGGAGATCCCCATTGAGAAAGGCATTATTAATGTCAATCTGTTGAATGGACCAAGCATAAGTGGCAGCAAGTGTGAAAACCAACCTAATGGTACTAGCCTTAACAACTGGACTGAAAGTCTCTAAGAAATCCACCCCAGCTGTTTGTTGAAAACCTCTAGCCACCAAACGAGCTTTGAACTTATCCACTGAGCCATCAAGCTTATATTTTGTCCTGAACACCCATTTGTTAGAAATGACCTTCATATCAGGATGAGGATCAACAAGAGTCCAGGTGTTATTGTGAATTAAAGCCTGAAATTCACTTTGCATAGCAGCCAGCCATTCTGGTCTAGAGAGAGCCTCAGCAATAGTAGCAGGTTCAATAAGCAAGGGTTTGCAAAGATTTGCTGCATAAGTTTTAGGCTTAAAAACACCAGCTTTGGATCTGGTAACCATATGATGTGTAGGCTGAGGTGCAGAAGAAGAAGAGGAAGAAGAAGAAGAAGAAGAAGAAGAAGAAGCACCAGCAACAGGTGAGAATGGGTAAGTTAACAAGGAGAGGCACAGTGGAAGGTGAAGAATGGGAGGAAGAGAGAGTAGGAGGAGAAGAAGAAATGATATGTCCTGACTGAGAAGGAGGAGAAGATGGATCAGGTGAAGTAGAAGGACTAGAGAGAACATGAGGTAAGAAGATTGGTCTAGAAGAAAAGGGAGGGCTGGGAGAAGCTGATGGAGCAGAAGAGACAAATAGCTCATCATAAGGGAACTCAGCTTCATTAAAAGCAACTGAAATAGCTGTATATACTCTCCCTTGAGCATTAAGACAAATGTAACCCTTATGATTGGTACTGTAGCTAAGAAACAAGCATTTAGAGCTCCTATATTGAAATTTATGACTGTTATAAGGTGTAAGATAGGGAAAACAGGCACATCCAAAGGGCTTGAGAAAATTAAAGTCAGGAGAAGATTTGAACAAGAGTGCAAAGGGAGAGGCATTATGCAAAACAGATGTTGGCAATCTATTCAAAGTATAAACAGCTGTAGAAAAAGCATGCCACCAGTACTTTAGAGGCATATGAGCCTGAGCCAGCAATGATAAACCCATTTCAACAATATGAAGATGCTTTCTTTCAGCCCTACCATTTTGTTGATGGGTGTGAGGGCATGGATGTCTAAAATGAATGCCAAGAGAACTAAGATAAGATACAAGTGACTTGTATTCACCACCCCAATCAGTTTGCAAGCATTTAATAGAAGCCTGAAATTGTGTAGCAATGAACTTGATAAATCGCTCAACTGTAGGAGCAACCTCGGATTTAGATTTTAATGGAAAAATCCAAGTAAACCTTGTAAAGTCATCAATAAAGTGCATATAGTACTTGTAACCATCAACAGAAAGTACATGTGAGGGTCCCCATACATCAGAATGGACAAGTTCAATGGGAAAGGTAGTTTTAGTCTGTTGAGAGTGAAAATGTAGCTGATGAAGTTTGCCAAGCTTACAAGCATCACAAAAAGGTAGTGATGAAGGAACAGACAAATTTAAGCTACGCAACACCTTTCTAAACACATTATCACATGGGTGACCAAGCTTTCTGTGCCAACTGGAGATAGTGGTTGAACTGAGAACAGAAGCTCTTGAGGGAACAGAAGCTGTAAGACTGCAATGTAAGGAAACTGAGGCTGGAGAACTGACATGATGCAGAAGAGAGGCATGTTGGGAAAAATCCAGCTGGTACAGGCCATCCTTAAGAGCTCCTTCCAAGAGCACTTGATGTGTTGTCTTGTCCTTCACAAGACATTTGTCAGAATAAAACTCTATTACAATATGGTTGTCCTTTGTTAACTGAGATATGGATAACAAGTTCTTTGTAATATGGGGAACAAGCAATATGTTATTCAACAACACAGGAAGATGATGGTTTGTGGCAATTGAAGAAGATCCAGTATGAGAAATAGGTAACTTAGAACCATTACCAACAAGAACCGTAGCACTACCTTGATAAGGATGTGCTTGGATGGACAAATTCTCAAGGTTGGCAGTGAGATGATTTGTTACACCACTATCGAAATACCAATTTGGATCAGAACCATATGTAGAAGCAGAGCCACTGAGAGAAAGCGAGGCAGTAGTATCACCAAGATGAGCCTGAGGAGAGGAAGGAAGTGAATCCTGACCAGTGAAGCTAATGTCAAACCTCTTATAGCATTTGATGGCAACATGGTTAGATTTGCCACATAGTTGACAGATAACCCTATCAGTATTCTTAGAAAAATGACCACGGCCACGATTAGAACGACCACGACCTCTGTAGAAGCCACCACAGCCACGAGACTGCATAAACTGAGCCGAGAAGGCATTTTCAGGAGAAGAAGAGACAGATGAAGCTGTAGCCGGAAAGGCAGCCGGAGAAGGAGAGGTGTTACTGGCCAATCGCATCTCATGAGTTTGCAGAGAAAATTGGACCTCAGGCAGGGAAATGGAGTCAAGCCGAGAAGTGAGATTAACAACAACATACTCAAAGTCAGCACCCAAACCACCAAGTATATACATAGCTAGTTCATCATCGGTGATGATATGACCAACAGAAAGCAGTTCATCCGCAAAGCTACGCATCTTAAGAATGTAATCATCAATCGACAAATCCCCCTTTTTAAGAGTTTGAAGTTGAAACTTGAGATGCAACACACGAGCTTTGGACTGTGATTGAAAAAGCTGAAGAAGAACAGACCAAACCTCAGCCGAAGAAGAGCACCTGGTGACATGACCAAGCATGGATTCCGTCATGGAAGCAAGCATCTAGCTCAAAATTAGCTGATTGGTGCGCATCCAGGTGATGAAAGCCGGATTAATTGCAGACGCAGATGAACCATCGGCGGCGGGGAGAAATTTCACCGGAGGAACAGATTGAAGCAGATAATCCTCAAAGCCATATGCACGAACAGTGGAGAGGATTTGAAGTTTTCAATACGAAAAATTGGAGCGATCAAGGCGAAGAGTAAGCGGAGTGAGATGGGGAAGAAAAGGAGACGCCGGCGGCGGCGAGACATGGAGCTCGGCCATGGCGAAAAATTTACCCTAGCTGTGATACCATGTTAGAGAGAAGATGAAGATAATGAAAAGCTTAGTGGGTTGTTTTGTTCATTAACAGATACAGAGGGATATATACAATACAGATAGATGACAGCTTAGTTGTGAACTAATCACACGTGCTTAACTAACTAACTAACTATCAATTAATAACCTAACTAAGTAACTACTCCAATACAAACGTGTCAGGAATTCTCCCGATCAATTTCGACTGCGCCATCCACAGAAACTTTACCTTCCTCAGATTTCTGAATCCCGGCGGTATGACCGCCGGCGTGATGTCGTTGTAAGCCAGCCCGAGGTTCTCGAGATCCGTGAGGTTCGAAATCTCGGCAGGGTAGGTCGTATTGAACAAGGCGTAGTTCAGCATCAGAGTTCGGAGCCGAGTCAGGTTGCCGATTGCCGGAGGAATGTCGCCGGTGAACCCGGTCGACCCGAGGTTGATGTACTCGAGCGACTGCAGCCGGTCAATATCGGTCGGGATATTCTCGACGAAATTGTTCTGCGACAGGTCAAGGTACCGGAGCTTCGTGCAGTTTAAAACAGCGGTTAGGATATTTCCAGAGAATTGATATACGTGGAGGTCGAGTACAATCAGGTTTTCGAAGGTGAAGAAGGAGGACTTCGTGATGGCCCCGGCTATGTCATAGCCGGTGAGATTTATTCCGGTGACGGAGCCGTCGCCGGCGCATTGGATTCCGCTCCATGCGCAGTGTGGACACGTGTCGTTCCACGATTGGAGGGATGGGGGATTTCCCCATTTTTGCTTCAGGTCTAGTAAGGTAGCTCCCTCTTCAAGGGAAGCTACAGAAAAAAGGCATCAAATGCATGAAAAAGATTAGGGAAAGTTGAATTTCCAAACGTGGGAAGGGTAATTTTGTCATTTCAGGGTATTGGAAAAATTAAGCCAACGTTTATATAATTTTTTTTTTTCAGTGATTGTTGTGCTTTGTAAATTTGGAGTGTTGGATTTATAAATGTAGATTAGTTTAGAATATGTGAGATTGGATTGATATATAAAAAGAGAATTAATTGAATGAAGAATGCATTGGTCACAAGATGATTGCAAAGTATGTATATGGTCAAAAATATCATACAAAAATTTATTTTAGTATATGCTTTTTTCATTTCACTAAAAAAGTTATTTGTTTGAGATGACCTAAATGTTAGATGGATTTATTTTTCATGCTCTTTAAAAAAAAATAAACTTATATGAAGTGTTAAATTTTTATTTATATTGTATTTTTTATACAATATTTAAGTTTAAATGTATGCATTAACCTTAAAAATATATGATTGTCTAACCATCAATCTTGCACAGTTCCTGAGTTCATTTTTGTAAACAACAACAACATACCCAGTATATTCCCAACTGGTTGGGGTTGGGGGGTCAGTTGTACGCAGACCTTACCCTTGTAATTATACAAGGAGGCTGTTTTCGTAGCGACCCAAGGTGCATTGCGTCGTTTGATATATTTTTTTTGTAGAAACTTCACTAATAGAATAAGAACTATAATTTAATTGAGCAATTTTGATCTAGTCCATTATTAGCACTATGCCAGAAAAATTGTCAACAATGACTCTTCCAGCTCTATTTGCAACGGACAATAGTTTAATTTTTTTTTAAAAAAAAAAAATAATGAATGAATTCTTTTGACGAATTCTTTTATTAGTGTTGTGAATAATTTATGGTTCATATATGACGAATTCTTTCATTTCCCTTTTCCTATCATTCTTCTTTTGCTACCGTTATGGGGATGATGTAAGAAGTATAAATATTGATGACGTATAATGCCCCACCTTTGCGGTGAAGTGAAAAAGTTTATTTTTGCCATGTCTATAAATCTAAATATTTAACTTATTAAAAATATTAGTGTTGTGAATTAATATTGTAAGAATATTGGTTTGGCATCATGTCCGACAAACCTAAGTGTTTCTAGAAGATTTCTTGTTAAGCAAGCAAAATAAATTAAAGGGAAGTTTTTCTATTTATTTACTTGAGATTTAATTAAGTTCCTAATATTTATTATTAATAATATATGGTATATATTTATTGTAGTATGTATTATGGAATCTTAATCCTTTAGGAGAAGGATTACATAATATATATCCTATATATTTACTTACCATATATACCACATGCCATAATTAGTTCTCTTTTGCTTGTAGGACAAGGAATAGATGGCAAGGACTATGAAAGGATGAGCTTTCCATACAAGAAGAGTTCTGGACGTTCATGAGAAGATCTAAGGAGGATTTAGAAAGATTCACCACAAGATCTTTGAAGATTTGGAAGATCGACTATTTTTGGAAAGTCAGGTTCTTACCGGATTCTGAAAGCCAATATTTCCATTGGAAGTTCAATTCTGAAGATCTCCAAATCACATGCACGAATTCCACATCAAGGAAACTTACCTTACATGAAGGATTTCGTCCAAATCAGAAAGAAATCAATTGAGAAGGAAATTGACTCCTAAAAGGTAAAGGAAGAACTGTGAAGATTCCTTACCTTAAGAAGGTTGTATATAAGCCTACTCAAGCAATCAATTGAAGACAAGAGAGCTGCTGCAAATCAAGTTCATCATTCATCAGCTTCAATTGAGTGTTTGAGAGTTTCTATTATTTTTATTTTATTCGATCCAGTTTTTCAGCGTTCTTACATTGCTGAAGAACTGAACTCGTTTTGTTTCTTTTCTTTTACAAACACTTTATTTTAGTGCTTAGGGATTAAGTACTGGGTTTTGCTCGAGGGATTCGAGTGTGTAAAGTCCACGGGACGTGGCCGGAGAAGTAGTTGATAGGATCGTGTGTAGTTGTGGCTAGACTAGAAGGGAGTTCGAGTCGTTTAAGTCCAAACTATACAAGTGTGAACGGTTTATCAATGAAAGAGCTCTGAGGGGAAGTGGGACGCTTCCCTGAAGAGTTTTAAAATCTTCGGTTTATTGCTTCCGCTATTTACATTGTTTATCCACGTTCGTACTACATTCCGCGCACTCGCAAGTAATTATACGTTTCAATTGGCACTAGAGCAGTGTTCCTGTTCTAACTACGGGATAAAGATCTTTGGGACTGTGTGTCGGTCACCATGAACCACGACATGTCTGTTTCGCGCCCTCCGTACCTCGATGGTTCGAACTATGGGTACTGGAAATCCATGATGGTAATTTTTCTTCGGTCTCTTGGAAAAGGAACTTGGCAAGTCATCGAATCAGGTTGGTCAACACCTTTGATGGAGAAATCACCCTCGGAAAAGAAGAGAGGATCCTCGTTCTCTGATGTTGGTCCTCGTGTTCTTGTTGAAAAACCGAGAGATTAGTGGACTGATGCGGAAAGACTAGCAGAAGAAGCTAATTTTCGGGCTCTATATGCTATCATGTCTGCTGTAGATCCCACTCGTCACAAGATAATCATTCAGTGCACGACCGCTCAAGAAGCCTGGAGGATTTTGGAAAGACAGTTTGAAGGTACAAACGCGGTAAAAACCTCAAGGCTCCAAATAGTTTCTACGGAACTAGACGAGATTCGCATGAGGGATGATGAGACTATTGACATGTACTATGCCCGGTTCTGCGATCTAGTAAACAAAAGCGCAATGCTTGGTGAACCGGTTCCAGAGGCTAGACAAGTGCAGAAGTTAATGAGAACTCTACCGGATAGGTTTGGAATTAAGATTACAGCTTTGAAGAGTTTTCAGAGAATTCAAAAGCTGGGCATTGATGACCTTCTCGGTGAGTTGCGTACCTTTGAAATAAATCATGGATTTGACTCGATAGAAGATAGGGAAAGGAAAAGGCTTAGCTCTAAAAGCCAAGGTTCGTACACCTGTGTTGGAGGAGGAAGATTCAGATGAAGAATCTTTCGATGCCGAAGAGGATTATGATGATGAGTCTCTTCATGCTGAAAGTATTGCTAAGGCTTTGGATGTTCTTACACGCCACTTTTCTCAGTTAAAGAAGAAAAAGGGATTCAAAGCGAAGAAGTCTGCCGATTTCAGTAAGAACACCAACCAGCAGTCTGGTGAACGACGTTCCAACATACATTCTCAGAAGACTCAGAATCAGGACGTAGAGAAGAACCAATGCCGTGAATGCAAGGGATTTGGACACTTTCAGAAAGACTGTCTGAATTTCACGAGGAAGAACAAAACCTATCGAGCCACGTGGGATGATGATGAAGACGACGATGACCAGCAACACACGAACAACTTTGTCATCACTTCTCCCAACAACTTCACATGCTATACAGCCTCTCAAAAGCCTTGTGATGCAGATTCAGGTATGTGTTCTTACACGTATAATTCTCATAGTGATTCTGATGATTCTGGAGATGGTTCTTTTGAAGTAGAC